GGTTGTAATGAAGACATACCAAGTGTCTTGTAGTAAAATTTATACGGAAGACATACCAAGTGTTCAGTAGTAAAATTTTGTAGGGCAATTTACCTATGATGACAAAAGCAAAGTTTCCAGGAATCCTTTCTGAAATATATTCACAAGGACTTCAACTGGCAATGCCTTCCTGCTGATGGTACTGCTGGTGGAATTTTAGTAGGCTTTAATGAGAGGAAATTTGAGGTCCTAGCCTAGAAAATAGGTGTTTACAGTGTAGTTGCTTTATGGTTAGAAACTGTCATGATAACTTCACTTGGAGACTGATTACAGTCTATGGTTCACCTTATGATGAAGGGAAACAAGAGTTTATTTTAGAGCTTGAAAACCTCCTAGATAACTGGGATAGTCCGACTGTGATTGGGGGTGATTTAAACTTAGTTTGTAATTCAAAAGAGAAGAGTAATGGTATCATCAACCATAGATGGACCGATCTTTTCTTAGATTGGATTAATAAGTTTGGTCTGATAGAATTAAAGCCATCTAACAGATCTTTCACTTGGACTAATAACCAGGAGCAACCTATTTTGGCTGCGATTGATAAAATCTTTGTACCACCAATTTTGAACTTAAGTTCCTTTAGCTTTTGTTACAACAAGTTCTAGGGCTGGTGAAGATCATGTCCCTTGCTCCTCAACCTTGGCATTGAGGAGACAAAGAAACCTACTATTTTAGATTTGAAAAATGGTGGTTACAACAGTCTGGTTTAGAGAATTGATTACTAAGCTTTGGAACACTCCTTGTGCTTTTTACTGATCCTTTAGACATTTGGCAGTTTAAGATGAGACTGATTAGGAAGAAGGTGAAGAGCTGGGCTATTAATATTAATGCCCAGATTAAGAAGCAGAAGCAGGAGCTCCTTAAGGAGTATGAAATCTTAGATTTAAAACATGAGAATATGAGGATCTCTGAGTTAGAGAGACAAAGGATGAAGAACATTATTAGAGACCTAGAGGCCATATGGAGGATGGAGGAAACAAAGGCTAGGTAGAGATCTAGGGATAGAAATGTTAAAGAGGGAGATAAAAATACAACATATTTTTCAAGTTGTGGCTAACCAGAGAAAAGAAAGAAAAAGAATAGGGGTTTAGAAGGCCCTGATGGCTGGATTGAAGATAATAAGGGTATGCTTGAGCATGCTGTGGAGTTTTATAAAGAGTTATTTGGAAAAAAGAGGCTAGTAGTGGTGTTAGGTTGGGGCAGGATTTTTGGGCAGCAGATGAAATAGTTAGGAGACAGTCTTGGCTCTTATGCTGAAGGGTCTCCTGGACCTGATGGGTTTTCCTTTTTGTTTTACCAAGCCTTTTGGGATCTTATTAAGGAGATTTGATGAACCTTATTAGATTGTTTGAGCAAGGGGGCTTAAACCTAGACAAGTTGAATTATGCTATGATAACACTGATCCCTAAGGAACCAGATGCTAAAGTGCTTAAGAAGTTCAGGCCTATCAGCCTGATTAATTGCAATTTTAAATTTTTTTCTAAGCTGCTAAATAATAGGCTGATTAAGGTAGCTGATAGGCTAGTAGCTTCAAACCAAACTACCTTTATTAAGGGCAAATTTATACTAGAAAGTGTTGTGGCTGACCATGAAATTATTCATGAGGTCCACAAACAGAAAGAAGAAGGGTGGAAGCAAAGTTGGACTATGAGAAGGCTTCCACGATAGGAGGATTAGTTGGTCTTTCCTTGAGGAAATGCTTGTTTCTAGGGTTTCGGGGAGCAAATGGAGGGGCTGGTTACAGCAGGTGGTTAGAGGAGGTTCTATTTGTATTCGAATAAATGACGAAAATAGTAATTACTTTAAACCCGGAAAAGGTTTGAGGCAGGGGACCCTTTATCCCCACTTCTCTTCAATTTAGTAGCGGATGTTTTTTTTCCAGGATGCTTATAAAAGTTGCTAGGCAGGGTCTTATTTCTGATTTACTACCTCAAGTGGTAGAGGGAGGTATCATCAACTTGCAATATGCTGATGACACACTGCTATTTTTTAGAAAATAATTTGGAAAAAGGCCAGTACCCTTAAGTGGTTGCTGGTGTGTTTTGAGCAAATGTCAGGTATGAAGATAAACTATGATAAAAAGTGACCTATTAACAGTGGGGTTGGACGAGGACCAAGCTAATGAATTTGCAAGATTATTTTGCTGTAAAAGATGTGACTTTCCTATTAAATACCTGGGTGTGCCTTTTTACATTTTAATAAATTGACTAGGAAGGATTTACAACCAGTGGTAGACAAAATCATCAAAAGAATTGCTGGCTGGAGAGGTAGATTGTTGTCTTATGCTGGTAGACTTATCTTGCTCAAGGCTTGTTTGGCTAGCATTCCAATTTATTTGTTGTCGATTATCAAATTCCCAAGTGGGCTATCAAGATGATGAATACTCATATGAGCCATTTTTTGTGGAATAATGCTGAGGAAAAGCATAAGTATCATTTGGCCAGTTGGCAGTTAGTAGCTCAAAAAAAGGATATGGGAGGTTTGGGTATCCCAGACTTGAGAAGTCTAAACTTAGCCTTGTTAAGCTCCATGGATCTTTAGATACCAGCTGCACAAGAATGCTATTTGGTCAACATTGTAGACTAAGTATAAAACTAAAGATCCCAACATCTTTTGTTGTCCTGATTTGGGTGCCTCCCTTTTCTGAAAGGGGTGTTGTGGGTTGCTCAAGCAGCCCATTTGGGCGTCAAGTGGTGGTTGGTAATGGGGAGAAGGTCAGGTTTTGGGAGTGACTAATGGATAGGTAATACTAGTTTGGCAATTATTTTTTGGTTGCTGTATGTTATTAATGAGCAACATGGTAAAACTGTAAGTCAGGTTTGAAATGGTCAAGAACTCATGCGCTACTTTTTAGGATAAATGTGTCTCAAGCGCTTATGAGCATGTGGTGGAGTTGTAGTCTAGTTAAGGGACCTCTCTCACTGATGAGGAGGACCAGATTCTATGGTCTTACACTTCTGCACGGCACTTACTCGGTTCAATCTCTTTATGCGGTGATCAATTGTAGAGGGTGGGACCTATGTTTGTTCATGCAATCTGGAAGTTGGTGATTCCACCTAGAGTTCACTTTTTTTTGTGGCTGTTATCTCGCAATAGGCTGCTGACAAGGGAAAATCTAAAGAAAAGAAGAGATGTCAGTGACCCAACTTGCCTCTTTTGTTCTAAACAAGAATCTATTTCCCATTTGTTTTTTGAGTGCATTGTTGCGGGTGAATGTTTGGAGGATTATATCTGAGGTTTTGGGCGTAGATATTGGTAGTGATTATGAGTCTGTAGCTAAATTCTGATTGCAAACAAAAGCATGTGATCGCTAACGTTGTTTCTTCTGCGGTGCTTTTGGTCTCTTGCGGAAATTACGCAATGAACTTTGTTTGAGGGTGTGGTATGGTTGGGTCTGAAGATGGTGCTGATTCGGATTACAAGAATGCTAAGGGGATGGTTGCCGCTGTACAAGAAGGAAGCCGGAGTGCAGCTGGAAGGCCTGATGGTCAAGCTGGAGGAGTTATCAAGGCGTCCGGCGCAGATCAAGTGGAAGGAGGGAATCACAACGGCATTATCATCACAGTTGGATCAATCGGATGCTCAGCCTTCAGTAGATGCCAGGATTGATTTGCTTACGGCTGAGCTTTGTAGGCAGCCATTGGGCTAGACCTGTTTTGTTTCTGGGCGTCGCGCGTGAGTGCTAAAACTCTGTGTGAACTCGATGTTTGGCTTTTGAAATACAAAAGTAGGGAAACCTTTTCATCTAAAAAATACTCTATGATGACGAAACACCATGGTGGACATCGAGTTTCGGAACAATAATTGCTCATAAGTTTGACAAAAATTTAGGCCTCCAATAATTCCTCTGGGAGATAGAAGGTTCAGCACGGAGGTTACGGTGACCGCAAGTGGTTTCGGATGAGGAATGTTTGAGACTCGGGAGCAATCGGGCCGCGTTTAGTTCGGCTAACGAATCGGCGCCGCCGATTCGGTCGCCACCAGAAGTAATCTGTAGCATTTTGTTTTTATTCGGTAATAATCATCCAATCGTTAACTAATTAGGTTCAAAACGTTCGGCCTCGTAAAATACAACTAAACCAGGCAATTAGTTTTAATTTCGTCAACATATAAGACTCCACACATGTACCGCAAATTTGATATGATGTGAATCTTCTTTTTTCAGATAGCCGCCAACTTCTCTGTAATTTTGGGTAACTAAACATGGCCTCGATCATGGTTCTGCGCTACCGAGTGCTGCTGCATGTATGGACAAAAAGTATGGTACCACATACAGTATCTGTCCGTGGCAAGTTTCATGTAATTTAGGCCTGTTTAGTTTGGGGTAAAGTTTTGGGGTGTCACGTAAAGTCATATATGGAGATGTCGATGGGATGTCTCCTGATACTAATAAAAAATAAATTACAGAATCCGTAAGAAACCACGAGAGGATTAATTTATTAAACATAATTAATCCATCATTAGCACATGTGTTGTCAGTAACACTTTATTGTTAAATCATGGTTTAATTAGCTTAAAAGATTCGTCTCTCGCAGTTATTTTTTAGTCTATTTAATACTCCATATATGTGTCAAACATTCAATGTGACAAGGTGTAAAATTTTAGGTGAAAACTAAACAAGGGCTCAGTTGGTACACATAGAAAACCGACACTGTGACTGACAGCATCGTGCCTGATATAATCCAATACTTATTCTGGAGAATGTTTTATTCGTCACTTTGTACAATTAATTACGGTCTACGGAACATCTTATGTGCATTAATTATTACACAGACCTGACACCTTCAACAATCAACGCATGCAATGCAACGAATCAAACAGGACAGATGTATACGATTACAAACAAAACAAAACACCCAAATGAAACGAATCTTCCTCTCTCTGAACGAACATGCATGTCAACGCACACAATTTTCGTGCGCACGCACGCATGCAACGATGCAAATGCAATTTTTCTGTGATCAGTTGAAGACGTCGCACTGCTTGCGGATGTTGCCCCGCCTGCCGGACTTGACCCCGACGCGGCTGAGCCTGACGATGGCGTCGGCGAAGGCCTTGTAGAAGGCGTCGGTGCTGTTGGCCAGCGAGTCCACCATGGCGCGCGTCCGGTTGTCGGTGTAGAGCAGCTCGTCGGAGCCCAGCAGCCCGCCGCCGTCCTGGAGGTTCCGGTAGTACTGGTTGTCGAACTGCGCCGGCGAGGACTGGTCCATGAGCACCAGGTTGTCGGCCCCGCCGTTGGGGCACTTGCTCCAGGAACCGCGCGTACTTGGGGTTCAGCGTCGGTCCGTCGGCTGCCCCGGCTGGAAGCTGTACAGCCGGTTCGCGAACTTGCTGCAGTGCGCCAGACCCACGCCGCGCCGCTGCTCGATCGATCACATTGGCACATAGTTCACGCATATATACACGGTGAAGAAATGAACTGACAAAGCAGCTGAGAATTAATGCATGTGTGTTGTGTCTGACGGACACGGACCTGAGAGCGCGACGAGGTCGGACATGTTGAGCCCGTGTGCCTTGAAGACCGCCAGCAGCTGGTCCATGGTCTGGTTGGGCTCGGGCAGCTGGCCTGGCACGCTGCCGGCCGTGGAGTTCAGGCCGTCCAGCCTACCCAGCTCCACTTGGAAGAAAGGCCCGCCACTCTGCATGCACGTTAGGTTATACTAGTACCACGATGTATCGGGCCTGGAACTAACGTGCAGGCATATGTACCATGGAGATGGCGTCCCGAGTGGCGAGGGCGAGCACGTCGGCGCAGGACACCGTGCCCGGGCAGGCGGCCCTCGACGGCGGCCTTGGCGCTCCGCACGGTGTCGAAGCCTTCGGACGCGAGGGACTTGTTGTCGGAGGCGTCCTTCTCCGCCTGGTTGCCCGGCGTGGATTCGATCAGCACCGAGCCGTCGCAACCCTCGACGAAGCAGTCGTGGAAGAAGAGGCGGACGGTGGAGCCGACGGTGCGGATGGTGGCCTGCACCCTCTGCTGCACCACGCCGCGCACGATGGTTCCACGTTGGAGCAGGTGCTCGCGTAGTAGTTCAGCTTCAGGTCGGCCGCGCCGGGCTGCGCGAGGGACGCGACGGCGACGGCGACCGCCAGGACGGCCAGCGACGACGCTGTGTTGCTTGTCGACGACGGCCTAGCCATCTTGGTTGCCTTTATTTGCTCCTGTTCTAGCTATCTGTAGTATGAACTAGGTGGTGCAAACTGGTGGATATATACCATGGGGTGTCCGTGTGACCGTGTACACCCAAGGATCGATGTGACGTGAATTTGTGAAGCGATGAAGTGTCGATCGTGAAATACAAGACTTGACGAACACTGGCACGAAACCGAGGATGGTTGACTTTTGTGACACGGCAGAGAGCTATGTCATGGTCCGTCGATATTGTATTGTATCTTCTAGCTCGTGCTTTGCATTGTGCTCTTTAAGGACTGATTCTTGTGTGTTCAAATGGATGCTGCTCGTGGAACATGGACTTCCTTGAATGAGACATGCATGGTTGGAAATATATGCCGTGTGTGGTGGTTACTGCTTAGCTCATGCGAGGAATATCGCGCGATAACTGATTGGTTTCTTAGCTTTCTTTTTTTCCTTTGTGGAAAGGAACTGATTAGTTACTTTACCAGTAAGGAACGAAGTGTCAGTCTCTGGCTGTTGCTTCCAGAGCAAGTGCAAGAATGCAGATGGTTCTCACTGTTTCAAGTCAAAAGGGGATTTTCATCTAACTGAACATGACACATTGAGTGTTTGAGTACTGAAACCTTATTCTGCTTGATGTAGCATGATTAAAGAGGGATTTTTAGTTCCTCTTACTCTCGGCTCGCGACGACTATACTTTTATTTTCTTTTCCGTACCGTAGACTGGTTTTCAAATCACTGCTTGAACTTCATTAAAGTTCTCTGTCAATTTCAAATCCAATATTACCTTAATATTTTGCCTGTTTTTTTGTGCAAGTCTAACGGTTTGTCCTTTTCAACTATGCTAATTAGCACGATGTTGTTGTCTCATCAACGTTACCTGTTTAATCTACATTATTCTATTGAATTGAATCATTTGATCATTAGTGAGAAGCTTCCTTGCAAATTTCGTGAACTAATGTGTGTGCACATTAGACGGATGGATGTGGATACACGGTCCAGACATATACACTTCAGTAGTTTATAAAATTTTAAGGATGTTTGGATGTTATTGATTTACCTCAATCCACATGTGTGGAAGTGGATTGGGATGAAATTTAGTTCAAAAGTTTTACTCCAATCTACTCCAAATACATGTGGATTGATACTAATCCAACCACATCCAAACAAGGCATAAAGCTATATTTACGGTTGATTAATGTGTGTGCATCATCTTTGTCCGATCAAATAAATCACACATCATTCCAAATTAGTGGTACTTCCACCTCCGTTCTTTCTACGTCAGGGTTTATTGCACTGGATGAACCATAGACGGCTCCAAAGTGCCCTGAGGAGAGCCAGGTCTGTCTGCTAATATCTTAACACTCCAACAGTTTGAGCGTGTGCTTCAGCTGTTCGACATCGATGGCACGGCACGCGTGAGCCATGAACGGCGTTGAAAAATGCATGAACGATCATCTGACTCAATCAAATCAATCACTCCCTGAAAAATAAAATCTGATCAAACAAGCCGGCTGACAACTAGGCCTTTGTGAGAAAATTGCAAAATACCTCAGCGCGATTTTTATGAAATCATCGAAGTTTTCTGGGCTATTTGTTTAGGCAACTTGCCATGTGTCATCGTCTGTTCAACATAACTAATTCAGACAACAGGGTTTCAATTTTCGTAGGACTAGTTCTTTGGCTTCGCTTTGAGAAACTGACCAGAGTCAGCGGATTAGGGAATGCATGGAACCATGAAAAACAAGGTTTGAATGGCATTTTATATGTTAGTCGAACCCCAAACGTGGTGGTCAAGGTAATCTAGCATGAATCCAAAGTCCAAATTAGCAATCTGGCCCGGTCTATCCAATAAGGCCCAAATACATGTTTGGCAAGCTAACTATATTTCCATCTTTTCCTAAAAAAAAACTATATTTCCATCTGTAATAAGTAATTGCCAGTGATATTCGCCAAGAACCATTTCCACTTTGCTTGATATGCAAAGTGTTTGACATGCACACACACGGTTTTACTGATTCACATATGAAGAAGTACAAGTTTTACCTTCACTTCTCTTAGGGCTCGTTCGTTTGAGTAGTTTCCGCCCCGGAATGATTCCCGGTCAAATCTGCTACGTACAAATTAAACGGACAATCCTGGCCGGAACGGTTCCCGGACGTCGTTCCCCGGGAACCGAACAGGGCCTTAAGGGAAAGATCTCACCAGCCACCGCATACTTCATTAAAAAAATGAAGTAGTTTAAAATTTAGTACACCTTATCTTACTATTTCCTCAATCCTAAAATATAAGATATTAAAACATTAAAAAATTGTCTTAATATAATGCATTCTGGGTGAATTAACTCCCTCACAACACCAATCCCATGCATACCTTTTTATTAGTGTTCACCATTGTGCTCAAAATATGGTACATAAGGTATCGCACTCTCGCTATAATTAAAATAGGGTTAATCTATTTTAAAATTTCTAAAATATTTTAGAACAGTGGGAATATTACTGTAATGTTAATTTGAGGCTCCAACTAAGTTTCTGCATTAATTCTCACCATCTCCTTGATTGAATATTGCTTGTCATGTGATAGAGGAATCATGACAAAATAGGAAGTATAAAATTATTGTGCTATCCATATACATATTGTATGTTTGTATGCACCAGCATACATGGCAACGAGGAAAAGAAAAAAGAGAATTAACACAGAAGGAAAGAGAATTAAGACAAAAGGAACCTCTTTGTATTTCTGAGAACCTTGCCAAATCTACCTACATTTAATTACTTCCCCTCTTTGCATTTGCAAAAGGGACAACTTTTTCCTCCTTTCATTTGGTTTCACGCTCACGTGTTCCATCTGCCTCGGTCTCCTCCCTGCTCGTCGCTCCCCTCCCCTACGTGACTCCCCGCTTGGCCGTGCCACATGCCTTCGACCACCGTGAGGCGGCGCGGCGTCCACGGTGCTGGAGGGCCGAATCGGGGGCACCATGGTGCCGGTGAAGAAGGACGCGCTCAGCTTGGGCCACTTCCAGGCGTCGGTCCTCGATAGCATCCACCATATCCTCGGCCAGGACACCGGGTTCGCCTTCCCACACTGTCGGGCCACCACCAAAGCCGACCACCGTGAGGTGGCACGGCCCGGTGCTAGAGGCGGCGCGACGTGTCTCCGCGGCAGAGTATCCCGGCGGCGCATGTGGTCAACCAGTATGCCCACCCCTTCCTTCCGCTTCTCCCTTCGTAAGTAAAAGCGACACCTAAGTGGGGAATGTAACGCGGGCAACATGTTTGACAAAATGTGTCTCCATGCTAGCAAACCTTGGTGGCTGTGTCCTCGTAGATGGACCTACGTTGAGAAGGAGAAGGACTTGCGTCGAGAATTTTTAGCACATGTGATTTTTAGCAAGTAGTACTATAAAGGGTCTCCGGAGATTAATCAGTCTCATGCTGCAAGTTCCATCTGATTGCATAATTACCCTCTGAATTTTAGCATGGAATATATACTCAAGGGGGGAACGAGGAAACTGAAAGTCGGTGTGGGATTCAAAATCAAACCTACTATGCTTTTATATAATATATCCATGCTGCTATTTCTCTATCATTTTTACACTGTAAAAATGCTAATTGTTTCTCCATAATATGGACTGTTTTTGTACATCACTCATGGGATGCTCTTTGAGTTGTATGTAGATTGGACAATTGCTGAAAGAATCTAATAAATAATTTGGACATCAGAATACCATTTCATTATTGTTAAAATTTATGTTGTTACTGGCTCCTTAGTTAAATCTGCTAAGGTTAGCATTTGTTCAAATTGATTATCATGAAGATATTTATAGTTTCCTGACAATCAATTTTCTATGCCTAGCTATGGGTTACATGAACGCTAAGCCTGTGGACATGCTTTGTTGTTTTATCAAACCAGCCTTTCTAATTGTCAGTTTTGCTGGAAAATTTATGGTCACCTAATATTAAAAAATAGAAAATATGTAAATCTGACTACTTGTGGAACACCCTACTTGAAGTTTATTACTGTGTAAACCCACCCTCTAACCCTTCTTCATCAGGAATCTGAAGGACAAAACGTGAGTTTACTCCTACTTTTATTACTTGGTGTATGCCATCATGGTTATTCATCGAAAAAGACTTTCCCTTACCATATGTTCAGACGACCTACCTGCTTTTTTGTACTGAACATTTTTTTAAAGAATTGATTCATTGTGCGCTAGAGCATATACCAGTTAAGGTGTTACATAATTAGCAATTGATATTAGGACCTAAAAACAATTGACCATTCAGGTAGTCAATAGGATCCTGAATGGGCACGATAGGAGGCGGCGTCCATTCAGGTAGTAAATAGTTTTGGCATGTGTGTAACTAATGGTACTTATTTTGTATCATGAATATCAGTATTTTCTAATATAAACTTAGTCAAAGTACATTTTTAGACAGAGGGAGTATTTCACTCTTTCTAGCGTCAATGGAACTTTTTATCAACTCTCTCATGGATAAGTTTAATAAT